GCATGTAGGTTTTTAAGCAATGTGCAATATGCATAAAGGGAATCTAGTGATGGAGAGAACAATGAAGACAGTTTAAATGAATTGTACCTAAGGTGCCTCCCAGTTGCTATTACTACCTTTGGTCAGTATTTCAAGTGAAGATCTCTGGTAATTTAAGAAGTGGGCGTGCTGCAATATTCTCAATGAGTCTTTGAGGAGTTATGACTCACTGAACCATAGCTGTGTGAGGACTTTCTGAACATCACAATAAGATGTTCTTTCTAGCTCTCTGGGAAACAGTCACTTCATAATTTTAAATTCCTAAGAGCAAGTTTTAAAGGGTTTTTGCTTTAATAATCCCTTTTTAAGACTGTTTTTTTTTTAGTTGAAGACTTCAGTATTTGTTTCTCAAAGCCTTTCTAAACAAGTATCTGTAACTGATGGAAAAGTCAACTTCTTTTCCCTGGTAAAGGCCAGGAATTCAACTATCCTATTCCTTGCATCTATTTTCCTTTAGATATGTCAGACACAGGAGTCACTCTTATGGCTAATTTTTCTACGAATTAAAGGGCTAAAGAGAAGGGATTTGAGGCTCTCAGATGTTATATGGATGAAAAAAAGATAAAATCTGGACTAAAAAACTGTGTCAAAGTGCAGGTACCAAATAGCTGATTGTTGCACAGGCTTGTTCAGATATAAGGCTCACATTAGACTGTCAGCCACACAAATGTGAGATCGATCAGAAGGATAAAAATGGGTGAAGAATTCTCATTGTACTAGGATGGTGTGACACCAGCTACCAAAATGTTTTAGTTAGGTGTTTCCATAGCAGAATATAGGGGGCACAAGTTGTCGTTGTTAGCACATGGTGCCTAGGATATTGAAGTAGGATCCAAGTCACAGTCATCTCACTAATGCGAGAGCACTTTGACCCCAAAACACACCCAGCTTGAAAAAACAAACCACATCACTTTTATAGTCAACTAGAACACAGAGATGACCAGCTTATACATGACAGCTCATTTAACAGCTTTCTTGATTGTGCCATGTTGCCAGCAAAGTCATCATTAAAGAAATGCAGGCATTCTTGGCTGAATTAACACCGAAGTCACAGAATCCTGCATCACACCCAGACACTCATCGTGAGCTACAAGGCAGGTGCTCTGACTGTGGAGGGCTGCGGTTCCTCACAGGCTGCGGTTCCTCACAGCCTGCACCTGCAGCCTGCCTTGCTGTTCCATGCACTGCTGTGGGCTGGGTCTGTCCTCGCTGTGCATCTCCTGCAGCAACCCCGCAGTTCTCTGACAGCCCTCACTGTACAAGCTCTGAACATGACAGCGGTCCCCATTGAAGCTGTGAGATCATCCAGCAGGTTTTTTACTAGATTGCTCAGATATGTATTGCGGGGTATTCCATATATAAACCGACAGGATGAGGCTGTCCTGACTGAAGGATACGGTTTCTCGTTAGGAAGGATTTCTTCACAACAGGAAGAATTTCCTGACAGAAAGGGGCGTTTAGATACTGGAACGGATTGCCCGGGGTGGTGGTGGAGTCACCGTCCTTGTGGAGGCGTTTAAGGAAAGAGTGGACGTGGCACTCAATGCCATGGTCTGGTCGACATCACGTCTTTCAGTCTCAGGCTGGGCTGGGTGATCTCGGAGATGTTTTCCAGCCTAACTGATCCTGTGATTCTGCGGAGGCAAACCTCCATGCGGCCCTACGGACACCTCCGGGGGTCCGGCCAGCCCGGGCCGCTCGCGGCTCCCGCCCCGCAGGCGCAGCCCGCCGCAGGGGGGGCGCGGGGCCGGCCCCGCCGAGCAGACCCCGGCCTGCGGCGGGAGGGGCACGGCCCGCGGGAAGACGCTCCTCACTTCCTGCCGAGGCGGGTCTTCCTGCGGGCTCGGCGCGGGGAAAGGTGACCGGGAAGCGGAGCCTCTGCGACAGCCGGAGGGGCCGGGGTCGCGCAGACCGCGGCGCCGATGCGGGCCGGGGCAGGGCGGGCCGCGCCGGAGAGCGAGCGGGGGGCGGGAGGGAGCGGCGGGGCAGAGATCGGGATGGAAGTGCCCCGCAGGCAGCGCCTGCGCCTGGAGCCGGCACGGAGCGGGCGGGGGGGCGGGAGTGTGTCCCAGGAGTGCGGGATTCCGCAGCCCCTGCAGTGGGAAGGTGCGCGTCCCAGGGGTGCGGGATTAGGCATTCCCTGCAGTGGGAAGGTGCGCGTCCCAGGGCTGCGGGATTAGGCATTCCCTGCAGTGGGAAGGTGCGTGTCCCAGGGGTGCGGGATTAGGCATTCCCTGCAGTGGGAAGGTGCGTGTCCCAGGGGTGCGGGATTCCGCAGCCCCCGCAGTGGGAAGGTGCGCACGGGCGGTGTCCGGGGGGTGCAGGCGTGGGTTTGCCCGGGCTGTGAGGGATGCGGAAGGGAGGGAGTACCAGCGCAGCCGCTGCACGTGGGTAGCAAGGGAGTGGCCTTAAGCTGTGGCAGGGGAGGTTAAGATTTGATATTAGTAAAATGGTCTTCATGCAGACGGTGGTTGGGCACTGGAACGTGCTCCCCAGGGAGGTGGTCACGGCACCAAGCCTGACAGAGTTCAGGGAGTGCTTGGACAACGCTCTCGGGCACATGGTGTGACTCTTGGGGATGGGCCTGAGCTGGTGGGCTGGATTCAGTGATCCTTGTGGGTCCCTTCCAGCTCAGAATATTCTATGATTCTAAGCATATCGATATGCTGGAGAGGCACAGGGGGTTGATCCCTCACACTAGGAAGGGACCCAGTGAAGAGGTCAATCCCATCCGTGAGGGAAAACGGTGGGAAGGGTTTCTTGCCCTAGCACGCACACAGGTTGATAAGTGCTTTCCCTCCCACACAGAGGTGTTAGAGGGTGTCTGAAAGGTGTGTAGTCACCTGCACTGGGATGCAGGAGCAGGCCAGGAGTGTGTGTGCAGGCAGGCAGTGTAGAACTGATGGCTCCATGGGTAAAGAAGGGTGGCGGGAACACACATACTGGTGCATGGAGTTTGGGGCAGAATATCCTGCGTGCTTGCCACACAGCAAAGCGAGTGGGAAGATGAAATGACCCCAAACACACAGGCATATGCAGAGTGTAGAGACTGTGGGAGTGTTGCAGGCTCTTTGATTTTGAAAAACATCACTTCAGAGGTGCAGATGTAGAATATACACATAGTGTAATTTTTTTATGAAACACTGATGAAGACGTATCTAGTGCACTTCAGACTACTAACAGAAACAGTAGCTTCCTTGGTCGCTTCAAAGGCTGGTCCAGAATTTCCCAGTCTCAGAAAGTCCTTGAACTTCCAATAGTCTAAAAGCCTTAGGATGGAATATGGAAGAGCAGTAAACCAAAGGTGTAGAGATTAATTATTTCAAGTAGTCCTTCCTGGAGCACTGTTTTATTTCTTTTCCTTTCTGCTAAAGATTGTTAGTCCCTGCAAGGTGGAAGAGGTAGATCTTGGAAGAGGAAGATCCCCAGGCTAGAGAATGCTGTGTAGATAAAACTCAGTATATCATCAAACATCTGGAAACTCAGAGGCAGCTGTAGTGATTAATTATTTCAAGTAATTTTGGTGAACAGTTCTGAAAATAGATGGTTTGCCTGCAGAAGCTGTTAATAAATTCTAAAATATAGTGGCAACAAAATTATGTAGCTAGGACATTACAGCTCTGCTTGAAGGAATTTACTATTAGTGGCTGAAGGGACTTTGCCATTACTTGTTGGCAGTGAATGCTATCTGAAAATAAAGAATTATTTTGCTTTGGGTTCAGAATAGGTCAGAGCCAGGATAGAATTATATGTGTTATTGAACTGTGATGTAGCCATACATCACATGTTCCTTTAGAAAACATCCAGCTTAACCTGAAAAGCAGTAGTTTAATTAGTGGTAAATTTCCACATAGAGTTACCACTTATATTGCATTATTACCTCCCTTTTGCTAGGATAAATATTGTGGTTCTTCAGGTGTTTAAAACGAACAGCAAGAGAAAAACTGCACCAAGGGCAGTGCATGGCTTACTTGGCAGCTTTTTGAAACTATTGTGGTACAGAGTTATAAGGCTGTACTAAAAATAATTCTGCTTTGGGGCGTACTGAAACTGTAATTTAGCAGAAGTTGAAATGCACAAATACCAGGAATTGCTTTTGATTCTAGTAAATTCATATGTATTTGAAGTGTCTCCACATCTACCTCCAAAATTATTTCAAGAGACCGTTACTGCAGCCAGTACCAGCTGTAGTTGAATGTGATCTCTGTGGCTGGAAAGATATGTGGTCTAGTGATTCAGTTCTGTTGGATCTCTAGGTATGATGCAACGTGAGATATACTTTTTTTTACAACTTAACAGACTCGCTGTTTTAGGAGATGGTATTTTCTGGGTTTAGATTCAAGGATTCTAGAATTTTAAGCAGTGCTTGAAGATAAAGGAGGACAGAAATTTTTCTGCTTCTTAAAAGCCTTCATTGCATAAATGAAAAAGTGACTGCTTTGTCAGAGGGACATGATGGTCCTAGCTCAGGCAGGTAACTTGGAATAAGCAAACTCTGGGTAAATTTGCTTTGTCACTTCCTTACTCTGTGCCCTTCTACTTTAGCTTCTCAGTTCATACAGTATAGGATATGTACGCAGCAGTGGCTGACTTGAAGGGTCTTGTGAGAGATTTGCTTCTAATATTGTTCGTGCAGTTTCAGAGACAAGCTTATAGATGTGTCAGAAGTGGTCTTCACATCTTGAACACGGTTTTATTTTAATTAGCGTCTGCTTTTACGTTTGTAATGACTGGATGTCCTGCTCAAAACCAGCTCCAGAAAGAGGTTGTTTTAGAAACGAGGAAAAGCAGTGGTTCAGTTATATCTGAGTGTGGCTAATGTGATTTGAGGTTTCACTCAGTGATACAGGATAACACGCTCTCTGACTCATGTTTATACAGCATCTAAAATCCTGAAAACTACTCTCCCTACATTTTCAACGTGAGTTACTGAATTTCTTACGTACATTAAAATTTTTCAAGCATGCTGGACAAAAAGAAGGGCAAGATTAAATTGAAACAGCTGTCATATATGCACATAGGTGCAGATATTTTCAGCATGAATAAATAATTAAGTTTCCTGAAGGATTATCATCTGATCCTTTGGAAGTGTAAAACAGTAATTAATTAACATATTACCACTGATGTAACATTCAAAGGTAAATTCAAATGAAGGGGCTTGATATAAACGAAATAATGTTTATTACTTTATGGCTGGATCCATAAAACGGAGCTTAAGTAGTCATCATGGTAATCAAAAGCTGAAATTCCAGGCTGTATCTGTTCCACTGAAGTTGTATGGAGTAGCCATGTCTGCTTTGTTTGAGCAAATGCCATTTCTTATGAGCTTAGTCATGGGAGCCATCTTTGCTTTTTGTCACCTCAGTTTTATTCTGAAAGCTAGAGTAAACCACTCTTTCAGGAGTCACAGTTTTTGGAGTTTAACTAGAGAAAACATGACTAGCAGTCAATAGTTTTGTTGAGCCATAGTGTAGTGCAAGTGGAGATCAGAAATATATTTGACAGTCTGGCATGGTTTCCTGACCACCTTAACATTACTGTTATACCAAAGCATCACTTCTCATCTTGTGTGATAAAACCTGAACTAATCTGGCTTAAAAATAGGGAAATCTTGAAAAATTGCTGAATTTTCTAAGTTTCTTAAGAGTGAGATGTCACAGTAGCCTTTCTTTTGGAACTTTACTGAAAAAAATCTAAGTGTAGTCTAGAAGGAGTATGAAATGACAATACACACATGACAATACTAAAAGGAGCAATTTCGTGCTTCTTTTACTATTGTCATGCTTGTGTAGCAACTGCTCAGAAAGAGCTTCCCTAGCTGACAAAACCAGTAGAGATTGATACTGCTCTGAGTCAGAGATAAGCAACCCTTGTGCGTTAATATGGAAGAAGTTTATTTGCCGTTTTAAATGGAGTGAAAATCTGACATAACATTAGATTTCATACCGAAAGGATGATACTTACTTAAAATACTGTTATGTTTGAAAGGAGGAAAAAAAAAACCAAAAAACCAAACACCACCTTATAAATGGTGGGTCTGATAAACTCTTGCTAACACCTTCGTAATTTCTGTTTGCGGGGAGAGGAAATTTGGGTTATTTGGGGGTATTTTATATATATAGATATATTTATATATCTATATATATATATATGTATATTTTTGAACAGGCTTATTGTAACCCAGTACTGTATTAGTGAATATCTTAATGTACTTTGGCCTACAAAGCAGTATGTAAGGGTTTAGAAGTCAATGTTTAACTTGCCTTACCTGACCAAAATATGTTTAACAAAGACATGTAAACCGACTCAGTCAAAAACTTTCTCTTTTTCATTCATGGAGTCTCTCAGTGGATGCATCTGAGCAATTTGTTCCATTCTGTGGTTTTGGAATATGAGATTTTCTTTCTTTCATGCTAAGGCACAGTAATTTTTCTACTTATTCAGAGGTTTCCATCTGAACAGGGAAAATTGCTGTTTAATTACAGCTGAACTTCATAATACTTAAATATGGTTTACACAGAGTTTTTATATATTATTTCTAGAAATAGGGTTATTGAGTTTTAACGAAAAAACGAAAGTCTTATTTTCTAAAATTTTCTGATGATACATACTTTAAGGTATTAATTGTCTGTTATCCCTGGATTGGTTACTGTGTGTCCACAGTTCTGGACTGTACTTGTGTGTACTGTTCATGAAGTGTACCCTTTACTGCAAGTAAATGACTATTACTAATGACACACTTTTTTTTTCTCTCTTATGCCAGGAAGTGTACTTCAAGAATCTTTCGAAACAGAAACAAAAGGAAGTCATGGAGAAGAATGGAAACAACCACAAACTTCGTGTTTGTGTTGCTACTTGCAACCGTGCTGATTATTCAAAATTAGCTCCCATTATGTTTGGTATTAAGGCAGAACCACAGTTTTTTGAGCTTGATGTCGTAGTGCTTGGTTCCCACCTGATTGATGATTATGGGTAAGGTGAATTTTTATCTTTCTACCGATCTGTTTCTGGGGTGTTAGCAATGATACCATGAATGTTAGGTAAAAAGAGTCTTGGGATTGTCAGTGTAAGCAACAAAGTTCTAAGATTTTTTTTCAGATTCCGTTTTATTTTGTGGCTCCTTCTGAGATTGCATACTTCTAGGATTTTTTCAACCAGTCTTGGAGTTTTAGAAGGTTTTCTTTTAAGTGCTGTAATCGAGCTCTTCAGCAGGATCACAGACTGTATGAAGTGAGAAACTCAGTTCCTTCATTTTTCTGTAAGAATCTGGTGATTATCGAATGAAAATGTGCTACAGTTTTTTAATTTTCACAGAGAAAAGATACTCCTCAGTCATTTTAAGTTGCAGCTCTTCCACTTTGCATAGTTATTGGACAAAGTACTTACGTATTCCATATCCCAGGGGAATACTGTTAGTTCTCACTTCCAGGACTGTGGAAGTAGGAAAGGTTGGTTGTCTCTTTCTGACAAAATAAATAACTGATAGATATATTAGGTATGGTCAGGCAGGGAAGATTAGGGTCCCCCTCCATAACACCTCACCAGTAAGCAGTCAGATCACCTTCCTGGGAGAATGAAATGTCTTGGTCTAAATTCCTTCCTTTGGAAGGGCTTCCCACATGCCAGGTGAAAAGGATAGAAGGAACAGCGTGCATATTCTTGCTGGGATTGTGTTTGGTTTTCCTCTGGCTGCATTTGCCAGATTGGGCTCAGTAAGTGGAGTAGATAGGAAAACACTTACTTTGCAAGACAAAATCAGACTTCAGCTTAAAGTCTGCAGCATACCAGCATTTCTGAACTTTTAGAAATGTATAAGCATATCTTCAAGTAAAGACACTTTTTGGTCTTTGCAATGAGAAATTTTGGCATTTTGTAAGTTAGGATGGGAGGAAGTTATATTATGTCACTCTGCTAAAACAGGAATTTCCACTGGTGACCGTTCTCTTTCTACATGTTCTTTGCTCTGTTCCTTGCTTTGTGCTGGACATTGTTTCCATCCAACAACACAGCAAGGTGAATTCAAGGCCACAAAACTAACCTGATCCAAAACAAAACCAGACAAGAAAGAAAAAAAACAAACTTCCTGACAGGTTAGCATGTTGGATTGCATCCTGTCTGATTGGAGAAATACAATAATCCCTTTCATTTGCTAATGAGGAGAAACATCGCCCTGATTTTTCTATATTCCATAATCCTTTGCTGTCTGCAAGACTTGTGCAAAATAATATGAAATACTTCTTTCCCAGTTCCAAGGTGTTTAGCATTTGTTTCTATTATAAATGAGTTGTAATGCACAAAGCAATCAATAGAGATTTTGATCTGACAGATGATGTTGCTGTTAGTTGCTTTGTGATAAGCATCCTAAAACCAAGGTACTGCTTGTTTGGTTTTTTTTTCAGGGCCTAGCCCTGCAATCCTTAATCTGGGGAATCCTAGGGATATGTGTTCTAGGGATGTGAGGAGGGTAGTCAACAGCAGCAGAAATCAAATGACAGTGATCCTGTGAAATGTTTGTTACTGAAATGTGTGGAGGATAGTAAAAGAAACAAAACCATCAGAAATGCACAAACATTTGTTCCCTAGATTTTGACCTTTCAAAAGGCAAAAAAATACAGAAGCAAAGAGAAGGAAGTTTTTTTGAGGTAAATGCACATATTAGAGAAAAAGGCAGGTATATGAAGGGTATTTTTAAGTGGAGTTGGAAATATAATGCAGCTTTATGCTATAAAAATCTGAGCCACTTCACTCAGTAAAACAAAAAGGATTTGCCTTTAAAAAAAACCAAAAAAAACCCAAAAAAAACCACACAAAAAAACCAAAAAGAAATACAAATTACCTTACAAGTTACTTGTAGGCAATATATCCTGTGTTACAGCACTGAGCAGAATCAAATAGATAGATAGAGTTTCCTTTAGTTGTGCAAAATGGGAATCACTTCTTTACTTGAGTTGGAGCACTTTATAGTCTTTGCCATCTCGGCTCAGCTTGCAGATTGTGAGATACTAAGTTGCAGAATATGAGTAGAAGAGTAAATTTAATGAAAATTAAATCCAGTTTAAATCAGTTTAAAAATGTAATCCTTTTACTAAGACAGTGAATGTCGGATGGATTGAAAACAAAATTGGAAAACTTCTGTGTTTTTTCTCTCACGGTCCAGACAGGAATTCCAGTAGTGTGCAGACTGCTAAGGTCAGTTTTAGTGACTGTTGTAAACAGGTAATTTTATGCAGATGTGTGATCTCTTCTATTTCACATACATTACTGTAAACAATAATAATTCTCAGTATTCAAGGAGTGTTTTAACTTTCTTATTGTGGACTAAAGCTGGTAGTATGTGTGGAAAAACTTTTTTCTTTGGCATGAAAGCCTGTTTTCCGTTGAACTTAAGGCTTTGTGCAGAGTCTTGATACAGCTCAAATATAGAATGTGAATAATATATCCTAGCTGCAGGATGTTTTCCTTGAGCATACAGGCCTCATCTTTGCATTGTGTCTGTTGTATTTATACAGTTGTCCAGTGAAGTCGATAAACATACCTTTTCTGAAAGGAAATTGTGCCATATCTATTCTCTGAAAGGCTCTGCAAACACATGAACAAAGAGTTTGATTTTTGAGGATTTCCAGAACATGTTCAGCCAATCTCCTCATTAAAGATGTCTAGAAAAACTTGTTGCTTGCAATATGAGGCAGAATCTTCACATGGATGAGAATATTCTGTTAAAATCTTAAAAACCAATTTTTCTTAAAGAAGGAGATGTGATAAGCAAGCCTTTGTTCAAACCCCGGTGCAGCTGTTCCAGTTTGCATTTATTTTGTCAGGCTGTGTTGCTGTAAAACCCAAGCTGTGTTTACTCTCACCCTTCTTCTCTTACCTTCAGTAATACCTATCGTATGATTGAACAAGATGACTTCGACATCCATACAAGATTACACACCATTGTGAGAGGGGAGGATGAGGCAGCTATGGTGGAGTCAGTGGGCCTTGCATTAGTCAAGTTACCAGATGTCCTCAACCGCCTGAAACCTGACATAATGATAGTTCACGGGGACAGATTCGACGCTCTGGCCCTGGCCACATCTGCAGCCCTGATGAACATTCGCATCCTCCACATTGAGGGTGGGGAAGTCAGCGGGACCATCGATGACTCCATCAGACATGCCATAACCAAGCTGGCCCATTACCACGTGTGCTGCACGAGGAGTGCAGAGCAGCACTTGATAGCCATGTGTGAAGACCACGACCGCATCCTTTTGGCGGGCTGTCCCTCATATGACAAGCTTCTCTCTGCCAAAAACAAGGACTACATGAGTATTATACGCGTGTGGCTAGGTAAGCACTCCACTTCTTATGTTTTTCCTGTGACTTTCAACACTAGACAGACTCAGTAACTAGGTTAGCAGTCCAAAAAAACAATATATTTGATAATAGTACCTGGTATTTCTTTCTTTCTACGTTTCCTTTCTTTTTCTTTTGTTGTGTAGCCTGCCTTGTATAGCCAAAAAGCTCCAAATCTGTCCTAGTGAACACTTCTGGTCCTTTTGTCAAGTCGAAAAAGTAACTCCTTAAATGGGTAATTTCTCTGGGCTGAACAACTGAAAAACAGTAACAGTCTTACATGAACAGTTATTTTCGTGTAAAGGATGTGTTTAAATAGAATCAAAGCTGCTCAGGCCTAATATAAAAAGAAAATCTAACAGAATTTGTATTATGAACTTTTTTTTGAGGAATGCACTGCAACAAGGCAACATGCACCAAAGGGGCTTGGTGTTTCACTTTCATTGACTTACAAATCCTGTAAATAATGGGGGGTTGTGCTTTCTTTTTATCTTTACCAAAGCAGTCTCCTATAGGGTGCACTAACCTGTGTAGTTGGAAGCTGGAGTCTTTCTTGATCAGTATGTTTTGCAGATCAGTTTCTATCAAATGTACTAAAACAAGTATGACTGACTGTTTTAAAGAAATGGAAATGAAGTTTTGCTTGAGGATGGACAAGTGATGGAAAATCAGAGCAGCTTCAGGATTTATTGCAGGTTTACACTGTTGTGAGAACAGCTCCTTGATCCTGGTATAGTCTTGCAAAGCTTTAGAGGTAGGCTTGCAAGTTAACAGTTTGCTGAGGTTTAGGTAGTGGTCTCTATAAAGTTATGTAATGTGCTTAAAGAGGCAAATAACAGGGTAGATCACCCTGTAACTCCCTTCAGGTTTATTGTAGCATTGATACTTACGTGTTAGGTATCCCATTCAGTGCCTTCACTCTTCAGGCTTTCACATCAGTATTTTCAAAAGTATGACCTTCCTTCCTCTTGGTATTCCATGCCAATTAAAAAAATTCTTTCTTTGCCTCCATTTGGACAGGTGAAGATGTCAAAACTAGAGATTATATAGTTGCTCTCCAACATCCTGTAACCACAGATATTAAACATTCCATAAAGATGTTTGAGCTGACACTAGATGCACTCATCTCCTTCAACAAGAGAACACTTGTTCTGTTCCCTAATGTGGATGCAGGTGAGTAGAATACTTTCGTGACAGAGGGACACATAAAAGGGTCCTTTAGAAGGGAAGTCATGTGACATGTAGGAGCAATATTAGTGCCTCGTAAATTAACTTCAAACTATGAAGGGGCTTTTGCAGTGGATTTTTGGGTCAAACGTGGGCTCATGTGCCTAGCTATGCAACTTAAATAATAAGAGAACAAAACTTACTCAGAGCTGGCAACTGAGTGAATGGCTAGCTGCTGTCTCCTTTACTTGTCTGGACTTCCATTTTAAAATAGAACTCGAGTAATTTATTCTACCTTGTTTTTCTGCAGGAAGCAAAGAGATGGTTCGCGTGATGAGGAAGAAGGGCATCGAACATCATCCCAATTTTCGGGCAGTAAAGCATGTCCCATTTGACCAGTTCATTCAGCTGGTTGCTCATGCTGGTTGTATGATCGGTAACAGCAGCTGTGGTGTCAGAGAGGTGGGAGCATTTGGTACACCTGTCATTAACCTGGGGACACGTCAGACGGGAAGAGAAACAGGTACGTGCTTCCTTGACTGATTTCCTTCTGGTTCTGAGGGGTTTTTTTTTCCTTCCCAGGATAAAGTCAAATGAACACTTAATAGAGGCCATCTTGCAGTATCACTTGCGCAACGTGATTTTTCACCCATTTTAAAGCTTCACTTGCTATACCTCTATCATGTTAGTCCTGCTTATGTGTGATACATAAGATAACGGGGCTTTTATCTATAGACAAGTGAAAATATATCTCCATTTGCAGTGAATTCCATTTAGCAGAATAGGTAACTAATTGTTTTACTTCATAGCTAATTTGATGTTTGATAAGTGTAAAAATTTCACTTCCAAAATATGAACTGCTCACCACTTCAGGAAGTAGTTGTATTGTGGGATTTCAGGTATATAGACAAGGCCCAAATAGCCATTTATCCCGTTTTCATTTGTGCATTGTTAATAATAGAGTTCTGGGGAACACAAACACTTGCTAGTGTTCTGTAGTACAGGATATTGTATCATAGGTGTCACCATTGCTTTATTGGGAGCAAGGGGAGGCACATAATTGATACAGAGCAACGTTGATCTGGTGGGCATCTTTCCTCCTCAGAGGAAAGAAAAGTAACAATTTTTTTCATTTCTAAAGCAGTTCTTATACTCTAATGTAATTTGAGGAACTGATCTTTCCTATTTTGTTGACTTTTGTCATCTAGGTGAAAATGTTCTTCACGTTCGTGATGCTGATACACAGGATAAGATTCTGCATGCTCTACAGCTTCAGTTTGGTAAGCAATATCCATGGTGAGTACAGTTGTCTTAATTCATCTGAAGGGATGTTAAAGCAGTGGAGTAAAAAGCATTTAGTCCTGAGGTGGTTCACTGTATTTGATGGGAGTGCTTTTAACGTGCTAATCTGAGGTTACAAATTACTTTCGTTTCCGAATCATAGTGCAATGTCTGGTATGCACATTCATATTTGTAGAGCAAAATGTCACTCGTAATGTTTTGATATAACTAGTAATTTAACATTCAACAGAAAGCCAAGAGGACAAAATTCATATGTTAAAACTTAGATAGCATGATTAAGAGAGCTTGTTCCACAGGAGCAGCATGGGGGGAGAACATTCCCTGTGCCTACGTCTGCCTTGTGCCTGAAGGACACTTTTTCGTGTGGGTACAGATGATGCCACAAGCCAAAAAATGAGCAGGATCAAGGAAGACCATAAAGGCCTGGCAAGGCACATAAAAAGCATCACTGTCCCAGTCATCTTCTCGTCTGTCCTACTGGTTAGAGAAATGGGAACAGCCAGAAGCTGACACAATGCAGCTCAACATTTGGCATTGTGGCTGGTGCCATTGAGAAGGTTTTGGCTTTCAGGACAAGGGGTTGTACTTTAATGATTGTATCCTATTAGGAAGTGATGGGATCCACCTGTCTAAAAAGGGCAAGAGAATCTTTGGCAGCAGGCAGGCTGGCCAGTTTTGGTGAAATGGGCTTTAAACTGAAGGACTCAGGGTTGGGGTCCAAAGTGGCAATGTTTGTGCCATTGCTTCCTCCTGGGGAGTAGGTCATACCAACCAGTGCATAGAATAAGATAAGAATCATAGGGCTAAACACATCAAGGGTGTTTATGGCAGTGGTGAATCCTCTTATACCCCTTCAAGCAACCCCATTGCCTGATCCTCTCTGAAGTGCCTGTATGCAAATGTGTGCAGCGTGGACAATAAACAAGAACAGTCATAGGCCATGATCTCATTCCAATTACTGAGACATGGTGGGATAGCTCACGACTGGAATGTTGTCATGGATGGGTATGTACTTTTTAGAAAGAACAGGTCAGCAAAGTTTCTCTTTATGTGAGAGAGCAACTGGAATGTATCGAGCTCTACCCAGGGGCAGGTGAACAAGTTGAGAGTTTATGGGTAAGAATTAAGGGACAAGCTAATAAGGGTGACACTGTTGTGAGTGTTAACTACAGGCCACCTGATCAGGAGAAGGAAGTTGATGAGGCTTTCTCTGGGCAGCTGGAAATACCTTTGCAGTCACAGGCCCTGGTTCTCCCAGGGGACTTTGACCAGCCTGGTGTTTGTTGGAGGGATGACGCAGTTTGGCACACACAGTCCACGAAGTTCCTGCAGATCACTGAAGATAACTTTTTAATGCAAGTGGTGGAGGAGCCAATGACAAAAGGCTAGACCTTGTACTATCCAGCCAGGAAGGACTGGTTGAAGATGTGGAGGTTGGAGGCAGCCTTGGGTGCAGTGAGCATGAGATGGTGGAACTTGGCATCTTGCATGGGGGAAGCAAAACAGTAAGCAGGACCAGAGCCCTAAACTTCCAGAGTCTTCCTTGGCGTCTTCAAAGACCTGGTTGGAGGAATCCCATGGATTAGGGCTCTAGAAGAGAAAGGATTCCCAAAGAGCTGGTCATTGTTTAAGCACCACTACTGCCAAACTCAAGAAAAGTGTGTCCCCATGAGCAAGAAATCAGACAAATGGGGCAGGAGACATGTGTGGATGAGCAGGAGGCTTCTAGTAAATCTCCAAACAAAAAAAAAATTATGAAATGGTGGAAAAAGGGACAGGCCACGTGGAAGGACTATAAGAACCTACTAGAGAGCAGCTCTGCAGAGAAGCATCTGGGAGTCCTGGTGGATGTCAAGGTGACCATGAGCTGGCAGCATGTCCCTGCAGCCAAGAGGGCCAGTTGGATCCTGGGGTGCACTGGAAAGTGTGGTCAGCAGGTCAAGGAAAGTGATGCTCCCCCTCTATTCAGCCCTAGTAAGGCCACATCTGGAGTGCTGTCTCCAGTGCTGGGCTCCTTGGTTCAAGAAAGACAAGGAGTTACTGGAGAGGTTCCAGCAGAGGGCCACAAAGATGATTAGGGGACTGGAGAATCTCTCTTATGAGGAGAGACTGTGGAAGCTGGGCCTGTCTGAAGAACAGAAGCCTGAGAAGGGATTTCATCAATACATACAGATGTCTCAAAGGAGGTGTCAAGAGGATGGTGCCAGACTCTTTTCAGTGGTGCCCAGCAACAGGATGAGGTGCAAAAGCCATAAACCAAAATACAGGTGTCACCTCAAAGTGAGGAAGAACTTTTACATTGAGGGTGGCAGAGCACTGGAACAGGCTGCCCAGGTAGGTCATGGAGTCTCCCTCTCTGGAGACATTAAAATCCCACCTAGATGTGTTACCTGCTCTAGGTCACCCTGCCTTGGCGTGGGGATTGGCCTAGATGATCTCCAGAGATCCCTTCCAGCCCTAACTGTTCTTTGATTCTGTGACATAGTGCTTCATAGCTGAATTGACTTCAGGCATGGTATGTAGAGAATCCTGATTGCAAGCTTCCAGGGAAGCTGCAGAATTATAGCAGTATGCTTTTCATTATCCTTCAGCCCTACAGTACTGACCCTCATTTCTTTAATGTATAAGTTCTTGTAAACTTCAGGAGAGTATATTTGTCCAAGTAAGGACAAGAATCAAAAGTATATTTCTTAAGAACCTAAATAGAGCAACAAAACTTAATTCTGTAATACCATATGTCTGACACCATGTATGATGATATTTTAGAAATGGATGTACATGAATGTACAGTTTATTATTATGTAGTTGTCATCCGTGTGATAAGTACATCTTGGTTTGGGCCTGTAGCACATACATAAACTGTCCATAATTTTTATGTTGTTATTTTGCATTATGATGTGGGTTCCTTCATCAAACTCTTAATTTTACAGGGGTTTTTGGCATCACTAACTTCCAGTTTTCTACATTCCAGTTTTGTATTCCAAAATGGAGCTAGTGCCACACTTGCACAGTCTATTGTGTGATCTTCAGTATCACACTCTGCCATATCTTGTGACAGCCTTGTGTAGTGTGAGCTGCAGTACTGTCATAGTAGCCAGAGCATAATTTTGTAATTACACAGTGTTACAGTCTTCTGTCATATAAAGAATTTTACAGATTACAACGTTACTTCCAATTACATGGATTTTTTTTTTTATGTGTATTACAGCTCAAAAATATATGGAGATGGTAATGCTGTTCCAAGGATCTTGAAGTTCCTTAAATCTATTGACCTCAAAGAACCGTTGCAAAAGAAATTCTGTTTTCCTCCTGTCAAAGATAATATCTCTCAGGATATTGACCATATTCTAGAGACACAGAGTGCTCTGGCTGTGGATCTAGGTGGAACAAATCTCCGAGTAGCAATTGTCAGTATGAAGGTAAATATTCAGTTGTATTTCTGGATATTCTGCAAACTCCATTGACCTTTGTTGTTCTGTTCCTGCAGCGACGATATGGGCTTATGATGCAAAAGAGCTCCAAAGCAAATTAGTCCTACTGACTTTTGTTGTTGAAGGATAAAGATTTTTTTTCCCTCATTTGTTGCACCTCTCCTAAAGTCTTAATGCAATTTGCCTGCTCGTTTGCTCTTCTAAGACTGATGTTAACCTAGCAAAGCCTGTTTGATGGTGTGGGGTCATAGCTGCTGACTACATCAGTTAGATATAGTTACCCAGAGAGCAAAGTAAGATGCCTGCAGAAAGATGAAGGGCTATGTTAAGTGAGCTGATACAGTCCAGAATTTTTAAAAGACATCTGACAGATCTTCGAAGTCTTAAAGACAACTTTTAAAAGTGTAATTCTTTTAGAAGTAAAATTGACACATTTTTCTGTCAACACAGCCTGGAAGAAAATGAATTTTAAAAAAAATTCTGTCCACTTTGCTGGGTGTAGTTTGAGCTGGCATTTATGATAGTTGAAATGCTAGCAAATCAGAGTGAACAGGATCAGACTTTCATAATAAAATTTACATACCAGATATAGACATTCAACAGCAAATGGCAGAATCTGAGATGTAATTCTCACAAATAACTGAGTTTTAAAAAATTCCTTTTAAAAGCTGTTGTGTCTTCTCATAATGTCTGCTGCAGCCTTGTCTTCCAAAACAACTTCCTCTGATTTCCCTCCCCTTCCAAACTAAAAGTGAAGAGGAAACTAAACATAGAAAATCCACAAAATCTCTTGCTCATGTGATGCTGAGATGGTGGGATCTAGTACTCAAAACCATTGACAGTTCTTTTGGCAACAATGAGTCAACCATGTTTGTTACTCCCCTTTGCTTAGTTGCATTAATTTAGTGCAATTCACTCAGACACGTTGTACATGGGATATAACAGGGAGAATAACATTATTAAGCTGTGTACCTTCTGCAGATCCCTGGCTTAGTCCTGCAAGATGAACATTTCTTTAAGATTAGTTTCTTATAGGCATGCATAATGAATACTTCTATTACCACTGCATGACTCCTAGGGTTAAAAATAACCCTTTCCTCCTGGATCCTCCCCACCCTGTCCAACATATTTACAAGGGCATGTAGTGACAGGACAAAGGGTAATGGCTTCAGACTGAAAGAGAGTGGGTTTAGATTAGATATTAGGAAAAAATTCTTTACTGTGAGGGTGGTGAGGCACTGGAACAGGTTGTCCAGAGAAGCTGTGGCTGCCCCATCCCTGGGAGTGTTCAAGGCCAGGATGGATGGGGCTTTGAGCAGCCTGCCCTAGTGGAAGGTGTCCCTGCCCACAGCATGGAGCTTGGAGCTAGGTGAACTTTGAGGTCCCTTCCAACCCAAAACTGTTCTGTGATTCTATGATATATCACAGTAGATGGTACTCCAGAAATATTACAAGTGACTCAGAAGTATAATTGCTTAGAAGAAAAGTTATTTCTGAAAGGATAGTAAATTTTGCCTTTAAATTCTTAGCATTTCTCTTTGGCTGACTCTACACAGCGGTGTCTGTGACACCACACAAACCTTTTATGTAGTCAAACTGGAAATACTTTATTTTTAAAGCACTGCGTTTTTTCTCTTCTTTATAGCAATTGCTACTCTTTTTTTTTTTTCTTTAACACTTTAGTGTTGAGCTTAAGTGTGTTGCTATATCACAGTTTATGCCCAACAACACTTTCAGTAGCTCTGGTGATATTTCCTTACACAAGCCATGTGTTCCTTAAAATGTGTATTTAATTTCAGACAGGGGAGGCTGATTACAGGAGTGGAATGTAATGCCTAATCCTGCAAACTTGTCCCCCAGAGTTGTCAGGAATCTTGACAACTTGCCTGTCAGGAATCTTGCCTGTAGTCCTGAGATCTAAACCATAGCATCTGTTTTGTTTTTTTTTTTAAAAGATAAGTAATAGCTCTCTATCTTCAAATTGACCTGTAATTTAAATTAAGGAGACATTTCATCATTAAGTACATTTCTCTAAAAACAACATTTCTTTTGTTGTTTTTAATTTCTAGGGTGAAATAGTTAAGAAGTATACCCAGCTGAACCCTAAAACCTATGAAGACAGACTGGAATTAATTCTGAAGATGTGTGTAGAGGCTGCATCAGAGGCAGTAAATGTAAACTGCAGGATTTTGGGAGTAGGTAAGTTAACAAATACTAACTTTGTCTTTTCATCTAAGAATTAAATCACTACTCATTAATTTAAAACATCTTTCTAAAATGGATCTCTTGTATTTTAAGCTCTTAAATCATAAATTATATTAAACAAGCTTTTTAAAACGACTGTGAAAATGAGAAGCTGGCTATAAAGACTGAGGTTTCTCCAGTTTGTAACAGCCATGAAAACAATCAGCTAAGTAAACTATATGTAAAAAGTGTGGTACGTAGCTTTTATGGATTTTGAAGCTCCCTGCTGTCTTGGAGTTGTGAATCAGATTTATATCAAAACAGCTCTTGAAACAACTGCAGCTGAGTCAAGATTCTTCTACCATCTGTAAGCCTTTCTTTAGGGCTAGGATCGACCGTGCAGCAGAGTCCTCAGTTATGCTAGGGCAGACTAAAATGGCTAGAATGTTAAGGAATAAATTTGCAGCTGACAAAAGCAGCCTTTTTGCTGACTTCCAGTTTACTTGCACCTGCAGTAGAGTTCCACATTAAGCTGTTTATACCAGACAGGACTTCTTCAGTTTAATGGTGACTGGGATGTTTGACCTTACATGTTACAGTTATTTATGAGGGTGTTGATTAATGTGTCCTGAATTTTTAAGGAGGACATAGAATCTTCATTTTAGCTGAGAAGTACTCTGTAGGAAAAGTAGTTTGTTCCAGACCAAAACTTATTTGAATGACACAAGAAAAGTTAATTTGAAGATGTTGTATTCTTTAAAAACCATGTTAAGAACACAAAGCCATAAGAAGAAATGTAAGACCTTCAAATTAGATCTCTCTTACAGCTTTAATGTTCGGTTCAGCTGCTTGTCTTAGAAGTTTTGTGGCTGCTTTCCATTATAATGTTAACCCTGGAACCATCTGTAGAGAAATAGCACTACAATAAAATGTTCAAACTTCATTTCTAGAGCTAAATACCTCCATAATAATGCCCTGCTTTTCAAAGGTCCCAAGAGAGTCTATCAACTTTGGAAGCCTCTCTAGCTAGGGAAAACTGGTTTGGCTAATAGTGCCTGTTACTGGTTATTATTCTGTTCAGTAGACAAATCTCTGAACAGATTTGATTTTTCACAAAAACAGTGTATTTTTAAGTAGAAATCACTGGTCCAGTGATTCTTTTCCTAAATCTTTAGTCATCCTAGGATGACTAAATCCTGGTCATCCTAAGACTTGAGAGTTACAGCAGACTTCAGGACATTAGTAATTTTTCAGGATTTGAATAATTTATTTTGTACAGTTTGCTAATATGTGTTTTGTACATGATTAACAAGAAACACACCTATTAAGTGATTTGCTGCAACCTTGCCTGAAGTAGGAAAATTAATTCTTTGACTTAACATTAACCTATACCTATCTAGTCGGTCTTAAGGACACTTGGTGCACTGTGATTAGAGCAGTGGCATTCTACGAATTACCTCCTTTGCTTTAAGGGTAACTGAGCACTGAAACACACTGCCTGGAGAGGTTGTGGAGTCTCCTTCTCTGGAGATACTCAAAACCCACCCAGACACAATCCTGTGCAACCTGCTTTAGGTGAACCTGCTTTTGCAGAGGGGTTGGAGTAGATGATCTCCGGAGGTCCCTTCCAACCCCCCCCTTTCCATGATTCTGTACCTTTACATGTCAAAAGTTGCACTGCCAGTAATACTTAGGAAATTTTTACTCCATGCTCTGCTTCAAAGCCTAGTATTAGAAATGAAAATTCTTGTCATTACAAAAAGAAAAACAGGTCTTTTACTTAAGTATCACAGAGACTTTGTTTTGATTTTTCTCTCCTATGTTTCTGGGACTTAGGTATTTCCACAGGTGGACGTGTAAACCCCCGAGAAGGAATTGTGCTTCACTCTACAAAACTCATTCAGGAGTGGAGCTCTGTGGATCTCAGAACTCCAATATCTGATGCTCTTCACCTGCCAGTCTGGGTGGACAATGATGGAAACTGTGCTGCTCTAGCAGAGAGGAAATTTGGTCATGGAAAAGGAGTAGAAAATTTTGTAACACTCATTACTGGTACAGGTGGGTGTGTTACAGTTCAATGAAACCCAAAGTCCAGTAGCATCACTTAGAGGCTCAGCTGATCTTAAAAATATAAACACTACCACTATGCCTAGAAAACCCTAATATTTTAGGTTCTTAAACCAAAAATCCTTTTGCTATTCTTATTTGTGTCTTTTAGGGTACTTTTTAATTTATTCAGGCAAATGAAACCTCTTCCACAGTTTAAGCTTCTTGATAAAAGAAATTCTGCCTGATACAGCTATGCAGGCAAGTAAGGAAAATCTAGGCAACTTTAACTGGAATAATTTTGCATTTTTTCAGCTTTATAGCTTAATTCTCTTTCAGAAATACAAGTCAGATCAGGAAATGTATCTAGAATATAAGCAACTAAATATGAGAGATGATGCTTAGTATAACTCAAATGCAAATGTGGGGTAACTTTTCTCATTTGTTAAGTATATAGTCCTTTAGATGGTGGCAGTAATAACTAGCTGATCAGTCCACACCCAGAGTTTGAGAAGGGGCAGCAGAGACCTGCAGGTTTTAGTGTCCTGGCTCTTTAGCACACAGGTTTAACTGTCTCAGTACAGCATTAAAACTTCTCTGAAGTGCAAAATTTTAAGGCCACCTGGAAGGACAGTTTTCTGTATAAAGAGCATGACTCACAAGCTTAAAAAGATCTGCCATAGTTCAGTACCATCCATAGGCTTTTTAAGAAAAGATAAGCATTATATATAATTTTGATACATATATGAATAGGAGGGAGCTGTGAGCTTGCTTATTAGGTGTGTCAAATGGAGAAGAGTTCTTTTAGTAACCAGTAATTTTTGATTTCCAGTGTAGATCATCACTGATGCAAATTATTTTATCTTGTCTGTATTAGAATAAGGAAATATCAGTCCTGCAGAACTGGGGCCTTTAAAAACTGTTGTGGGGTGGTTGTTTGTCTTTTTTCTAACCATAGAAGTTTTCATACCTTTGCAGGAATCGGAGGTGGAATCATTCATCAGCATGAACTGATCCATGGCAGTTCTTTCTGTGCTGCTGAGCTTGGGCATATTGTCGTATCCTTAGATGGACCAGAGTGCCTGTGTGGTAGCCAAGGATGTATAGAAGCATATGCCTCAGGAATAGCATTACAGAGAGAAGCCAAGAAACTCCATGATGGTATCTGTTTAGTTTATTTTTGAAAACACAATTACTGAAATGCAGTATAGGAAGAAATTTTTAAAGGTAGGTCTGCCTTCTTTTTCTACGAGGAAACAAGAGTAGGTGTGCTGGTAACCTGTTATAGTACAAATATTTTTCAATGGCAACATTTGGTATCACTGGTGTCAGAATTAGCAGAAGCACACAGTAGAGTTTAGACTCTCCTTTTTAACTATGCTGTAAGGTAATCTGACTGTCCTGGTTTGGGTTGCTACCTCTGGGGCCTTATTAAAAATCGCACCCAGCCCTTTGGGGGAACAGGGGGGGATAGTTGTTTCCAGCCTCTCACCTCCTTCTTCTCTTTCAGACCTGCTACAACAGTTTTTGAAAATACTGAGTTCCCTTTTGATGTTAAGGACAGTATAATGTTATTGTTAGCGTTGCTCTGTCTGCTCTGTACTGTATACACCATGTTTAGGGTCAGAACAGGGCCTTCTAGGGAGGTTGTTTGGACA